TGTAGGGTCAATTACGATGAGGTGGAACCTTCAAGATGAGCACGTAGACGGAGGCCTCAGCGTCAGCACAGTTGCTGTCGTGAGTATGAACGCTTAGAAAAGATGAGTTAGTAACAAATGATGCTCACTTCTACACTCTCCAATAAACACAACGAGAACATCGACAAAATCTCCATATGTCAACGCTGATCTGACAAACAAATTCCTATTGTGGTCAAACAAATTTTTTTACAGCCTAAAAGCATGGCCTGTTACTATTTGATGTTGTAATGACTCTAACAATTTGCATTGGTGTCTGATGTCACGCACTGTGTCGCGGACAAGGAACGCGAAAGGGTTTTTTTGCCAATCTCTACTGGATTTTCTTTAGATGAAAGCGAGCATAGCTTGGTGTGGGAAGGTTCTTCAATTCAACTTTCAGACGATAAGGATTGACAATTTTCGCTACCTACAGCCAATCATTTCGTTCTAGATTTTCTTTGGGGAGTGAGCATAGCTTGAGTCTTGAAAGGTTATTCAATTCAACCTTCATAAGACAAGGATTGAGGTTTTTTCCCTACCTACAGGCACTCGTTTCCTATTAGATTTTCCTTGACAAGTGAGCACAGCTTAGGTCTTGAAAAGGTTCTCAATTCGATCTTGAGATTATAAACATTGAGGGTTTTTAGATATTTTCCCCTACCTACAGCCAATCATTTCCTCTTATGTCTTCTTGAGAACGAGCATAGCTTAGTAATTCAACTTTGAATGATAAGAATTGAGGTTTTTCCAAAGTGCCCATAATTTACCTTACATACAGCCAATCATTTCCTCTTACGTTTTCTTTAGGAGTGAGCATAGCTTAGCTCTTGAAAAGATTTTCAGTTCAATTTTGAGATAATAAGGATTGAGGTTTTTTGCGCATAGAAGTAATTTCCCTTGACTACAGCCAATCATATCCTCTTGAGTTTTCTTTGGGAGTGAGAATAGCTTAGATCTTAAAGGGTTTCAAATTTGAGATGATAAGGACTGCGGAGTTTTTTTTTAAATATTTTCCCCTACCTACAGCCAACCATATCCGTTTTCTTTGCGAGTGAGAATAGCTTAGGTCATGAAAAGGGTTTCAATTCAAATTTGAGATGATAAGGATTGAGAGTTTCTTTTAGATATTTTCCCCTACCTACAGCTATCATATCCTCTTACGTTTTCTCTAGGAGTGAACACAGCTTAGCTCTTGAAAGGATTTTCAATTCAACTTTGAAATCATAAAGATTGAGGGTTTTTCAGATCCTTTTTTCCCTTTGTAGATGTTTCTTCCCCTACCTACAGCCATTCTATCCTCTTACGTTTTCTTTGGGAGTAAGCATAGCTTAGGTCTTGAAAGGGTTCTCAATTCAACTTTGAGATCGTAAGGATTGAGGTCTTTTGCGTATAAAAGTAATTTCCCTTGACTACAGCCAATCATATCCCCTTAAGTTTTCTTTGCGAGTGAGAATAGCTTAGGTCATGAAAAGGGTTTCAAATTTGAGATGATAAGGATTGAGGGTTTCTTTTACATATTTTCCCCTACCTACAGCAATCATATCCGTTTTCTTTGCGAGTGAGAATAGCTTAGGTCCTGAAAAGGGTTTCAATTCAAATTTGAGATGATAAGGACTGAGGGTTTTTTTTAGATATTTTCCCCTACCTACAGCCAATCATATCCGTTTTCTTTGCGAGTGAGAATAGCTTAGGTCTTGGAAAGGGTTTCAAATTTGAGATGATAAGGACTGAGGGGTTTTTTTTAGATATTTTCCCCTACCTACAGTCAATCATATCCTCTTACGTTTTCTCTAGGAGTGAACCTAGCTTAGCTCTTGAAAGGAATTTCAGTTCAACTTTGAAATCATAAGGATTGAGGGTTTTTTAGATGTTTCTTCAGCTGCCTACAGCCATTCATATCCTCTTACGTTTTCTTTGGGAGTGAGCATAGCTTAGGTATTGAAAGGGTTTTCAATATGACTTTGAGATCATAAGGACTGAGGTTTTTTCCGTATAGAAGAAATTTCCCCTAACCATAGCCAATCATTTCCTATTAGATTTTCCATAAATGAAAGTGTGCAAGTTGCGGTCTTGGAGGGACTTCCACTTCAACTTTGAGATGATAAGGATTGATAATTTCCACTGTTACATTATCTTTGGGAGTGAACATAGCTTGGGTCTTGAAAGGAGGGTATTCAGTTCAACTTCAATAAGGATATGGATTGCGAGGTTAATGAATGTCTCCACTACTACGAAAATTTCCCCTTACAGCCGATCATTTTCTATTAAATTTTGATGTAAGCGAGCATAGTTTAGGTCTTGGAAGGATTTTCAAATCAACTTTGATAAAGATAACGATTGCGAGGTTAGTGAATGTCTCCACTATTATGAAAGTTTCCCCAACTTACAGCCAATCACTTTCTACTGAATTCTCTTTGGATGGAGGTGAGCACAGCTTGGTTCTTTGAAGGATAACTCAACTTTGAGATGATAAGGATTGATAATATCCCCTACATACAGCCAATCATTTCCTATTAGATTTTCCTTGAAAAGTGAGCATAGCTTAGGTCTTGAAAGAATTTTCAATTCAATTTTGAGATAATGAGGATTGTGGTTTTCTCCGTTTAGCAGAAATTTCCCCTACCTGCAGTCAATCATTTCCTTCAAGTTTTTTTAGATTTTTCTTATGAAGTAATATAGCTTAGGTCTTAGAAGGGTCTTCGATTCAACTTTGAGCTGATAAGGAGTGAGGTTTCCTAGATAATTTACACTACATACGGGAAATCATTTCCTATTAGATTCTTGAAAAGCAAGCTTAGCTTAGGTCTTGAAAGGGCCATCAGTTCAACTTTGAGATGATGAAGATTGTGGTCTTTTAGAATCCCCTACTTACAGCCTCTCATTTCCTTTAAGGTTTTAGGTTTTTTTTTGAAAGAGCATAGCTTAGGTCTTGAAAGGGTTTTCAATTCAACATTGATAAAGATAGCGATTGCGAGGTTAATGTGGGTGTCCACAATTACGAAAGTTTCTCGAACGTACAGCTAATCATTTTCTATTGATTTTTTGGATGGCAGTGAGCATAGCTTGGTTCTTGGAAAAACAGTTCAACTCTGAGATGGTAGGGATTGAGATTTTTCCAAAATACTCATAATTTTTCCAACCTACAGCCAATCATTTCCTATTAGATTTTCCTTGAGAAGTGAGATACACAGCTTAGGTCTTAAAAGGATTTCCAATTCGTCTTTGTGATAATAAACTAAATCTTTTACTTCAACCAACCCATGATTTCCTCCTACCTACAGCTAATCATTTCATATCAGATCTTCTTGAGATGGAAATTGGCAGCTCATTAATTAGAAGGGGTTTCAATGGAACTGTGAGATAATAGGGATTGGTTAATCAAATATTACCAAACTTCCCCATCTAGTTTCCCAAAATTCATCTACAGCCAATAATTCTCAGTTCTTCTGGGAATGAAGCATGCACAGCCCTGGTTTTCGAAGAATGTTCCACTCAGCGGAAATTGCAAGATTTTTACCAATATCACCGATGTTGCCCTCCTAAAACTCACTTGATTTTTTTTCTGGAAAAGAACTTAGCTTAGCTGGAGTGTTAAAAACTCTATATTTAGGCTACGCATGATAGAACTGAATGTTTCTTGAATATTACCGTAATTTTCCGGGTAAGGACTATATGTCGCCGAAAATGGTGGTCCAACGCGGACATCTGCAAAAGACCACGCAGCCATGCGTATTACAGACATCAGACATGCGTACCAGAACGCGCGAGGCGAAGCCTATCGGCGACAACAAGTCCCCTACCTTCCCCTACCTATACACAACCAATTTCCGATTTTCTTTAAAGGAAGCAAGCACTGCTTGATTTCTAAAACAAATGTGAGATCATATGGAGAGGTTGATAGAACTCATATTTCACCCTACCTACAATAAACTTCTATCAGATTTTGAATGGAATCGAGTATAGATTGAGTCGTGGGTGTTTGGGCTCTCGGCCTTAAATAAACTTCCAACTCAATGTAGTGGTCTCTTAAAGGCACCGTCCACCCGGATTCTCGACTTCCAGGTTTCTGTCGTTTCAGGGCCTTCTCATGTCCCTGATTCCAAACAGGAAGTCGAAAATCCGCGAAAACCGCGACAATCCCCATTCCGGAGAACTCACACGTCGATTTTCCAGAACGGTGATTAGATGAACGCGCAAAAATGGGCGGGCATGGATGGGAAGGGGCTTCATAAATGGGGGTTTTTGTGCATCTTCGCTATTCCGAAGCAATTTTCTCGCTTTCGAAGCGGCATACTGCACCGCGACTTGAACATTGGCTTGATAGGAGGCCCTACTGTTGCATGCTGCCAAAAGCTCAACACCCTCAACTTAGGGTGGATGGTGCCTTTAAGGTATCTTTCCTCACCTTGCCGTCTACTTCCTAGATCAGGGCTCGACACGAGGTGGCTAGATGAAAATGCAAAAAACGAAGTCCCCCTTGACTTTTGGGTATTTTTACGAAGTCCCCTTTAACCCCCCACCATATTCCCTGAAAATCCTCCAAAAAACGAAACGTCGATTAAAAAAAAACGTCGCCTCGCCAATTTTGCGTGTGTCTTCGGTCACAAAAACGAAACCCCCTTTGCTTTTCGTCCCAAAAACGATATCCAGCTTGCTTGTAAGCCACCTCGTGCCGAGCCCTGTCCTAGATTGCTTCGTGCAAATTATAGTACACATAAGCTAAGAATACTATGCAACAGACTGTGCACTACTAGACTCTGAAGTGAGAGCAATCTCCTCATACTGCATCGCTACAAGAATGACAGAGAAAATAACGCTTTGCATCTCGGCGGTGTAAACTTCCGGAGTGTAAGTATTACGTAATAACACTGTAACAAGATCAACGATATCCAAATCTGATTTATTTTCTTCGGACTTTCTATAAGAGACAATGTCTCATCACATAAAACCTGTCTCCTTCCTCCCTATGTGCCCTCTCGAATTCCCTACACTTTCTTTCTTTAAAACTGTAAATTTCTCCCATTACAAACTCTGATACTCTCTCATATACAGCATCTCTAAGCATGAACAGCAGATCTTTTTCTTCGCTAAGGATATCCAGTACGTCTCATGGTAAATTGAAGCCCGGACACCTCTAAACATCCTCCAAACACCATATTCAATCATTTCGCAAACCAAGGCGGATGTTATCGCCCAAAGTGTCATACGCTTAGGAGGGATATCCAAATAATGCCCTCTCGGCTCACTCAGATTTCGACAAAGATCCACCTGAAAACTCGCACATTCGCCGACTAATGCGTGGATAGGAACAAACACCGACTGGTAGAGGTTTTGTTATGTTCGATTCGCTCTGACAACAACTAAGTCTTCACTACAATCACAGCCACGGCTTACGCATCCATAGTCCCACGGTTCAAAATTTCATTACCATTCCATCCAACCCGTTAAGGTAACCAAGATATTTCTACCCGTACGACTAATCAAGACGCCAATTCACCAAAGAGCGAGTCGAAACACAACCAAACCGGAGTTTATCAGTCAACTCAAAATGCATTATACCAACCTTAGTATTCTACGAAGAAAGATTCGCAAGGTGGTCAGTCCTCGCTCCTTCAGGCAGATTTGGGTCGATAATTATACCATTTCCACAGAATGAGAAACATTGGTGAGTTACTCCGCACAGCTCCACCCAACGTCTGATTAAGATTTAACTGTATAGAATAATGAGATCGGTTCTATCCGGCTAGAACGGAAAGAGCCTTCCTTCAAAAGAAAGTGGATCACCACGTGCTTCTGGGAGTTGAAAGCATAATTTCCAATCAGGAGGCAATATCGTTGAACAGGGAGAAGCGAATTTAGGTCCTCGATAGATGAAGCCGAATTCTGTGGTCATGCATCGAGAGTTACAAGCCCGCCGCTACCCACTTTCATGGCCCATCAATTACGCGAACATAAAGAAGTCAGATGCGTCCAAAGGCTCACAGTCTAAAGACAAATTTGAGAAGACAGTGCAGGCATCAATGAGTGAGCGGACATCATGCTACACAAGCCGTCTGCGCAATCGTTGTCGCATTGAGAATCTGGTGACACATGCGAAAAAATTCGGATAGATGAACAATCTAACAAGACTTTCGTGAATAAGCAGACTCCAGAAAACTGACAAAGACACTTCCTAACTGTGAAGATCTGACCGAAAAAAACACTGACAACAAATAAAGTGCGGGTATAACAAAACTATGAACATTACAAGCAATCTTGCGAGTGCTTCCTACATATTGCGTCATTCGGAATCACTGAAGCCGCGAAGGATACAACAGATGGCACATACAATGACTGCTATGTAGTTCGTAGGTCAATAAAAATTGTGTAGATAAATGCAGGTTGAAGGCAAGGAAACAAGCAAACTGCAACCACAACGCGCAACTTGAACAGATGAAGTTAAGTTGCCATGCAGGAAACGGAGCTGTAATACTCTAATGCTCATACAGATAAATTATCAGACGAGATTTTATGTCGCTTTCACAGTCGAAGAAGAAACCATAAATAATGAGATGCTTCCCACTGGGATAACGGAACCGTAAAAGATGATTCGCAATGTGAAACCTACCACGCTAAGCAGACGAAAAGCAGACTACATTTATTAACACGCCAAAATTCTGCTTTGAATTTTGGTATCAAACAAGCAAATATCTTACAATTAGCGAGAATTTCTGTGACATTATTCTGAGAGAAAAAGTTTTAAAGAAAGCGATAGAGCACAGTGCCTACTTCAACATATCCCGCACAAGAAGACGCCACCAAGTGAAATATGAACTACAATATTTCGTAAAACAGTCACATTACAACGACGTGCTCAAAAAGGTGATAAGAGCGCAAACCTGCCATAAATGCCATTACTGCCATAATTCATACTGATAACTCGGTAAGGATGCATTTGTAAGACATTTATAGAAACAAAAAACCAACTTAATCTAGAATGTGTCCGCGCAGTTAGAATGACTGATACAACCACTGACAATGAGACTGATGTAATCAATGGCAAATTTACACGATGTCGTTACCATAATGAACGTTGTACTTTATACTGTTAACTGACACAATACGTTCACAAGAAAGAAATTTTGCCAAAAAATTTTTGTTTTTGTCCAAAAAGGCCTCCCTCCCACCCTCTTTTTATTGAAAGAAAAACAAATACTTAAGATGAAAAGGTAGGTCATGCAAAAATCCATTTCATGGAATTAGTGGTGCTGTAAGTCTTGTTCAGACGAGAACGTACAATGTAGTATTTAAGCACATTTACAGAAAAATTGATCTTACTACAAAGGAAAACACATTCGAGAAACACTAACATAGAATCTGTGCTTCAATTACAGAATTCTTGCAAGAGATAGTATGCAGAGCTAACATCAAGCGTTAACGAAAAGTGATGGAGAGTTAAGTGATGTCTTGAATATTAAGGAAACCTTTGGGACCATTTGCTGAAGCATGCCACCGAAAACTCCTCCCAATAAGAGCTGATTAGTGAAATCCGTGCTATGGTCGTAGACGCTTGCCAAATGTAACCGAACACGTAAAACATTCACTTCCGAAAGCATGCGACTTGCAAAAGCTTGAAACGGCAAACATCGAACAAAATTGTGAAACTCTATCCTGCAGTAGACGAACTGTACTACACCAAGAGGAATTGTGAGCAATACAACTCAGTTTGCGAACAAAACCTCAAAGAAAATTTTTCTTAAACAGAACAGCCACCCTCCCTCCCGCTATATTGTAAGTTCTTGAACGTGATATGATCCGTTACAAGCGAAAAAAAGCACAGTAAATGATACGGCAATGATGACCCTAGACTGTGCTACACCAGTGTCATTTGTTGCTAATTAGAGAAATATCCTTTCAATCCAGCAAAAGTGAAGACACTTTTGGAAAGAAAGGAAAAAGACGAAATGGGGGGAATCCTCATCATAGACCGATAAACCGACCCCTACCAATCTCACCAACCACAGACATCTGTGGACCATAAACTCATAGTGGGTGCAGCTATACACAGTTTAACAAGAGAAGATGAAACCCCACTACAATAAAAAGTGAGCTCCAACCTAAGATGGAGGCTCCGGCATCAACACAGGTGCTGTCTTGAAAATTAATTTTTGCCGAGAAGAATTAGCAACAAACGACAAAGATCGCTATTGTTAACGCGTTATGTACACCTTGCGAACATATCAACTTCTAATTCAAAAAAAAACCGCTAGATCAAATTTGGAAGGAACATCAAAGTCTGTTAGTTATTTGCGCTCACAAATTGATCAAAATCCAATGTTTCTAACATGTCCACTGAAACAATACACGACCAAACTTACACAAAGACTTGAATACCAACACGACTCATAGTTTAGAGGTGTATGATACGATAATCGCAGTTTTTTTTTTACAAAAAGCACAAGCAGTAAGATGTAATCTCTATAAAATCCTAACAACAGGAAATAGATGCAGAATAGCGAATAACACCGTAAAAGTTGCACTCCAACAACTCTATTCTCATACGCAATGGAACACCAAAGTCTGCTGAAACACCGGCAGACAAAGCCAAAATTGTTAACAAAAAAACCAAGCACCAATATCTGATGGGCTGCTTTCGGAAGCATCATAATCAAGAAAAACTTTATATGAAGGATGCTCAAGGCCAAGAAGTTTGGAAAACCGTAATGACAACTTTAGCACAACAACTCGGAACCAACAAAACAAAGGCTTTCGGAACAGCACCGACAAAATACAAGAATCAATAGAATAAGGTCAAAATCAATAAAAGCTAGCGTTTACTGGGATGCTCATCTTAGGGAAAAATGATGTATTACTCGATCTGAACAGCGCCTGACATGGACTGATCACGTACGGGATGACGGCAAGGTTGTTTGCGTAATGTTATGAAGCGAGGATTTTGACGTTCTTTACCAAATTTGTGACATTTCTTCCTAACAAAAGTATGATAATATGATTCATTTTTCATAAACAACTTTTGATTTGAACACTTGAAATGAAACGACCGCAGCTTACCGAATGCGCACGCAAAGATCGTCGTTATGAAGATCTCAAATTTTTTTCCATTTTCCCTGGTTACAGCCAATCAGTTTGTGAGAATTCTTCCTACCTACGCTGCAGTTAAGGGAAGATCCCAGAACAAGTTTGGGTACTTGCGAGGTTCGGGACCTGTGTTGACGGATACATTTGAAACTATTTGGTTTTACTCTGACATCTACAACCAATCGTTTCAAACTCTTTTGTCCCACAGATAAATTCTGAATCCGATAAGAACTGACCTAGTACTTCTTGCCACTATTTTTCTCCAACTACAGTCAACCATTTTCAGTGTTTTTTTGGACAAATTTTAGTCAGGCAGATTTGAAATTGGGCGATCTTGAGGATTGCTGAATGCGAAAGGACCGTATTCGTAAACAAAAGATTGCATTTTATTTTTTTGTGGGCTTTTCAACCATATTGAAGTCGGATTTGGCAATGAATTTTAAAACTATTCAATTTTCAGTACCCACAGACATTCATTTTCAAAGATTCTTCAAACAATTTTTAAGCTTGAGGTGGATCGATCTTAGGACTGGTAGAGGAGCAAGGACCATGTCTAGATGGAAAGGGCATATCTAACTTCTTTTCATGATTTCCTTCACCCACAGCCAATCAATTAATGAGAAGTTCCCTACAGAAAGCGCACTCAGGAGATCGTGAAATAACTTGTTCGATTTTCCAAGGGTTTTGAATTTTGGTTTGAAAACGCTGAATCTCGAAGTTCTTTGATGATTTTCCCTACCTACAGCCAATCATTTTCAAGGATTTTTCAGACAAGCTTCAAGTCAAAGACATTTGAGCTGGAGCGATTCTAGGATTTCTCGAGGCGCAAGGACCGTGATTATGATGGAAAGAGCACATCTGACTTTTTTCAAAATTTTCTCTACCCACAGACAGTTAATAAGAATTTTCTCTACAGAAAGTGTACTCAGGAGATCGTGAAATTAGCTTGTACGATTTTCCAAGGGTTTTGAATTTTGGATTGAAGACGCTGAATTTCGAAGTTCTTTGATAATTTTCCTACATACAGCCAATCATTTTCAAGGATTTTCTAACCAAGTTTTCAGTCAAAGGGATTCGAGCTGGAGCGATCTTAGGATTGGACAGGCGCAGGCGTGTTTATGATGGAAATGACATTTTTTTGATAATTTTCTCTACCTAAAGCCAATCATTTTCAAGGATTTTTCAGAAAAGCTTCAAGTCAAAGAATTATGAGCTGGAGCGATTCTAGGATTCTTGGAGGCGCAAGGACCGTGATTATGATGGAAAGGGCATGTCTTACTTTTTTTGATGATTTTCCCTACCTACACCCAATCATTTTCAAGAATTTTTCAGAAAAGCTTTAAGGCAAAGAGATTTGAGCTACGTCTTAGGATTGTTGGAGGCGCAAGGACCGTGATTATGATGGAAAGGGCATACCTTACTTTTTTTGATGATTTTCCCTACCTACAGCCAATCATTTTCAAGAATTTTTCGGAAAAGCTTTAAGGCAAAGAGATTTGAGCTGAAACGTCTTAGGATTGTTGGAGGCGCAAGGACCGTGATTATGATGGAAAGGGCATGGAAAGGGCATATCTTACTTTTTTTTGATAATTTTCCCTACCTACAGCCAATCATTTTCAAGAATTTTTCGGAAAAGCTTTAAGGCAAAGAGATTTGAGCTGAAATGTCTTGGGATTGTTGGAGGGGCAAGGACCGTGATATGATGGAAAGAGCACATCTGACTTTTTTCAAAATTTTCTCTACCCACAGACAGTTAATAAGAATTTTCCCTACAGAAAGTGCACTCAGGAGATCGTGAAATTAGCTTGTTCGATTTTCCAAGGGTTTTGAATTCTGGATTGAAGACGCTGAATTTCGAAGTTCTTTGATAATTTTCCTACCTACAGCCAATCATTTTCAAAAATTTTCTAACCAAGTTTTCAGTCAAAGGGATTCGAGCTGGAGCTATCTTAGGATTGGAGAGGCGCAGAAACCATGTTTGTGATGGAAATGACATATTTTTTTAGAAATTTTCCCTACCTACAGCCAATCATTTTCAAGGATTTTGAGATAGGATTCATGGAGGGGCAAGGGCCGCGATATGATGGAAAGGGCACATCTAACTTTTTTCAAAATTTCCTCTACCCATAAATCAATTAATAAGAGTTTCCCTACAGAAAACGCACTCAGGACATGATGAAATTAGCTTGTTCGATTTTCCAAGGGTTTTGAATTGTGGTTTGAAAACGCTGAATTTTGAAGGTCTTTGGTAATAATTTTCCCTACCTACAGCCAATCATTTTCAAGGATTTTTCAGAAAAGCTTCAAGTCAAAGAGATTTGAACTGAAACGATTCTAGGATTCTTGAAGGCGCAAGGGCCGCGATATGATGGAAAGGGCACATCTAACTTTTTTCAAAATTTCCTCTACCCATAAATCAATTAAAAAGAGTTTCCCTACAAAAAACGCACTCAGGACATCGTGAAATTAGCTTGTTCGATTTTCCAAGGGTTTTGAATTGTGGTTTGAAAACGCTGAATTTTGAAGGTCTTTGGTAATATTTCCCTACCTACAGCCAATCATTTTCAAGGACTTTTCAGAAAAGCTTCAAGTCAAAGAGATCTGAGCTGAAACGATTCTAGGATTTTTGGAGGCGCAAGGACCGTGATCATGATGGAAAGGGCATGTCTTACTTTTTTGATGAATTTCCCTACCTACAGCCAATCATTTTCAAGGATTTTTCAGAAAAGCTTCAAGTCAAAGAGATTTGAACTGAAACGATTCTAGGATTCTTGAAGGCGCAAGGGCCGCGATATGATGGAAAGGGCACATCTAACTTTTTTCAAAATTTCCTCTACCCATGAATCAATTAAAAAGAGTTTCCCTACGAAAAACGCACTCAGGACATCGTGAAATTAGCTTGTTCGATTTTCCAAGGGTTTTGAATTGTGGTTTGAAAACGCTGAATTTTGAAGGTCTTTGGTAATAATTTTCCCTACCTACAGCCAATCATTTTCAAGGACTTTTCAGAAAAGCTTCAAGTCAAAGAGATCTGAGCTGAAACGATTCTAGGATTTTTGGAGGCGCAAGGACCGTGATCATGATGGAAAGGGCATGTCTTACTTATTTAATGAATTTCCCTACCTACAGCCAATCATTTTCAAGAATTTTTCAGAAAAGCTTTAAGGTAAAGAGATTTGAGCTGGAACGTCTTAGGATTGTCGGAGGCGCAAGGACCGTGATTATGATGGAAAGGGCACATCTAACTTTTTTCAAAATTTCCTCTACCCATAAATCAATTAAAAAGAGTTTCCCTACAAAAAAACGCACTCAGGACATCGTGAAATTAGCTTGTTCGATTTTCCAAGGGTTTTGAATTGTGGTTTGAAAACGCTGAATTTTGAAGGTCTTTGGTAATAATTTTCCCTACCTACAGCCAATCATTTTCAAGGATTTTTCAGAAAAGCTTCAAGTCAAAGAGATTTGAACTGAAACGATTCTAGGATTCTTGAAGGCGCAAGGGCCGCGATATGATGGAAAGGGCACATCTAACTTTTTTCAAAATTTCCTCTACCCATAAATCAATTAAAAAGAGTTTCCCTACAAAAAACGCACTCAGGACATCGTGAAATTAGCTTGTTCGATTTTCCAAGGGTTTTGAATTGTGGTTTGAAAACGCTGAATTTTGAAGGTCTTTGGTAATAATTTTCCCTACCTACAGCCAATCATTTTCAAGGACTTTTCAGAAAAGCTTCAAGTCAAAGAGATCTGAGCTGAAACGATTCTAGGATTTTTGGAGGCGCAAGGACCGTGATCATGATGGAAAGGGCATGTCTTACTTTTTTGATGGATTTCCCTACCTACAGCCAATCATTTTCAAGGATTTTTCAGAAAAGCTTCAAGTCAAAGAGATTTGAACTGAAACGATTCTAGGATTCTTGAAGGCGCAAGGGCCGCGATATGATGGAAAGGGCACATCTAACTTTTTTCAAAATTTCCTCTACCCATGAATCAATTAAAAAGAGTTTCCCTACGAAAAACGCACTCAGGACATCGTGAAATTAGCTTGTTCGATTTTCCAAGGGTTTTGAATTGTGGTTTGAAAACGCTGAATTTTGAAGGTCTTTGGTAATAATTTTCCCTACCTACAGCCAATCATTTTCAAGGACTTTTCAGAAAAGCTTCAAGTCAAAGAGATCTGAGCTGAAACGATTCTAGGATTTTTGGAGGCGCAAGGACCGTGATCATGATGGAAAGGGCATGTCTTACTTATTTAATGAATTTCCCTACCTACAGCCAATCATTTTCAAGAATTTTTCAGAAAAGCTTTAAGGTAAAGAGATTTGAGCTGGAACGTCTTAGGATTGTCGGAGGCGCAAGGACCGTGATTATGATGGAAAGGGCACATCTAACTTTTTTCAAAATTTCCTCTACCCATAAATCAATTAAAAAGAGTTTCCCTACAAAAAAACGCACTCAGGACATCGTGAAATTAGCTTGTTCGATTTTCCAAGGGTTTTGAATTGTGGTTTGAAAACGCTGAATTTTGAAGGTCTTTGGTAATAATTTTCCCTACCTACAGCCAATCATTTTCAAGGATTTTTCAGAAAAGCTTCAAGTCAAAGAGATTTGAACTGAAACGATTCTAGGATTCTTGAAGGCGCAAGGGCCGCGATATGATGGAAAGGGCACATCTAACTTTTTTCAAAATTTCCTCTACCCATAAATCAATTAAAAAGAGTTTCCCTACAGAAAACGCACTCAGGACATCGTGAAATTAGCTTGTTCGATTTTCCAAGGGTTTTGAATTGTGGTTTGAAAACGCTGAATTTTGAAGATCTTTGGTAATAATTTTCCCTACCTACAGCCAATCATTTTCAAGGATTTTTCAGAAAAGCTTCAAGTCAAAGAGATTTGAGCTGAAACGATTCTAGGATTCTTGGAGGCGCAAGGACCGTGATTATGATGGAAAGGGCATATCTTACTTTTTTTTCAAAATTTTCTCTACCCACAGACAATTAATAAGAGTTTTTCTACAGAAAACGCACTCAGGACATCGTGAAATTAGCTTGTTCGATTTTCCAAGGGTTTTGAATTTTGGATTGAAAACGCTGAATTTCGATGTTCCTTGATAATTTTCGCTACCTACAGCCAATCATTTTCAAGGACTTCTGAAAAGCTTTAAGTCAAAGAGATCTGAGCTCAAACGATTCTAGGATTTTTGGAGGCGCAAGGACCGTGATCATGATGGAAAGGGCATATCTTACTTTTTTTGATGATTTTCCCTACCTAAATCCAATC